TGTTTGATTGTGCAATCCTGTTTTCCTTTCCTCTCATCTTTTCCTTCTGTCTTAGCTGAGGTGTGGAAATAATGAGATGTGAGGATGGAGGAATTAATGGAATATTTTTGCTCACTCAAGTGGCATGTGAATGATTACTGATGATTTTGCACTAAAATATTTTGAAAAGATTTTTGTAAATGTATTACTGAACATCTGTGGACTTGTTGTTTAAAGATGTGTTTGGTTTTAATGTTATTAGTGAACTGAAAGAAAGTATTTTATTGTTATATTTTACTGTTACTGTTTACATTTTAATTTTCATTAAGCAAATTCAATAACCAAAACCTACCAAAAAGTATTTTGAAATGATTCAAAAACAAAGACTGTTAGCCTGTGCTTTTTTTTTTCATTTATGTATTTTTTTCTCAGTTATGTATATTGTTTATAATAATGTATATAATATATAATAATGTATATTATTTCATGTGTGTGTGTGTGTTTATTGTATATTTATAATATATGTACTTTTTGTTGTTAATAAAAATAATTAAATAAAATTAAATACTGTAATAAATCATGTAAATGCAATAAATCATTACTTTGTACTGCTGAAATACCTCACTGTGCTGTTGTGTTTATGTAGCTGGTTAAACATTTTGAATAAAGCATTGAAATATGCCACATTTATGGTTGATTTAAACAACAAAGATTTTATTTATATTTTTCCAGTAGTGTACAGAATTATTGGTTACACTTTATTTTACAGTAAATATACTTACAGTGTACATAAAGTGTACTTACCCAAGCAAGTACTGGGTAGTATAAGGTAACTACATGGGTTAAGGTTAGGTTTAGGGATAGGTTCAGTTTTAGTACCTAGTATTACCCAGTTACTATAATTGCTACAATAAGTACATAGTATGTACACATGGAACAGGACTGTAAAATAAAATAAAATAAAAATGTGTCCTTGTTACAGTTTAATTATACATATAAGGAATCAGGGCAGTGTGCAAATTGTGCAAAGAATGATGGGAAATGTAGTCCGAGGTGCTATGCAACAGTTTGTGTAGTGCGAGAGTCAATGTAATGGAAAGTGTGACATCTGGTGGTGAATAAACGGAAGTCCATGAACCGAAATCGT